ATCGAACCCAGGTTAAGAACATCTTGTCTATGGTTTTTCTTCTTTTTATTTCGTTTCGGCTTCCTAAGGAGCATTTTGATGAAGATAGAATCCTAATAATCCAGCTAAGAATCCATCTATATTTCAAACTTTTCCTAAATGACTTTTTTGGTCTCCTTCGTTTCACCTTTCCCTGTTTATTTAACACCAACACCTGCTTAGTGATGTTATTTTCTGTCTTCCTGATATTGTGCCCTGATCACTATCTTTTAGTTTCTCTTATTTTATTTTCGACTGTCTGTAACCTAGCTCCGAGCAATACAGTTAAAGAAACTTCACGTTTTGCTACATCTGCAAAATTCAAACACTTTGAGCTGTTGTGTCCTTTGTATTCCATACTGTTTTCTCTAGCTTGTTTAATTATTCAATCAAGCAGACAACGAAATACACATGTCTTATTCCAAAGGTTCACAGCACTCGAATGGACGGTGTCAGATCGCATTTGACTTTTATACAGCAGGCTTATACTGAGAAAAAATGCTCTTTTTCACAAGAGTATTCTCAACAACTCCCAAAAGTTTCATTGTGATTGGATGGAAGGTGTAGTAATGCATAAAAGACAGACACACGTACGCACACACAAATATACATATATATTACAGTTTTAATAAATTAATAAAAGAAAAAGAAAAGAGCAGTTTTTCAAGAAACTTCTATATTGCTAGAGACTGGTTGCTATGAAAATGTCATGCAAAATCTTATTGTTATACGAGAATGTTTAGCAGGGATCAATCCCGCTTTATTTTCTAGGATATTTTATTTTGAATCGTAAATTACAAAAAACTGCATTAATATAATTTTATTTTTATTCTTTTCTGCTTTCTAATTTAGTCGTATTTAAAAAAAAAAAAACAACATTGTCAAAGCTTAGCTGTTATTTTAATTTCATTTTTTTAGGTGTTCACCGCTCCTGAACTTTCCGAGCATTTAGTGTTTTTTACCATACAATTGTATTTATTCGGGATATGTATATCGCAAATGATGTGTTTTTGTTCAATCTACATAATAGCAGAGGGGATTATTTGTATATGTTAACCAAAAGCCAGACATGTGTTTTTTTTCTAAAATATTTTTTACCATGCATGTGATTCTTTGATTTTTAAGCAAAAGTGAGATTAAAGGTAGTGTTAAATTAAATTTAAGTGTGTGCATTTTATGAGATTACTGTTTGTGGTTAAGTGGATTAGTTTAAAACGTATCATAGATTGCTACATTTTATAATTAGCTTTGGTTTATGATTTTATAAATCTATAATGAAGTCATTAATTGTAGAGTTAAAAAAACATATTTTAAAATCGAATGCTGAAAAGCATAGGCAATAATAATGACGTCATTAAAAATACAGCAACGTAATTAAACACCTTATTCATTTGTTTAATTTTAGGTGTACTAGGCCACCCGTTATACTTGGATAACTGTGGGTTTCAGTGTCATTCATAAATTACGTTATGCTTGTTGACTATTTTTATCTCCCCCCCCCTCCCCCCTTCCATTGTCAAACACAGTCACAAAAATAAATTTAAAAAAATAATCTAAAAAGACTTCACACCTCAGCCAACATGCTTTTGTCCTTTAAAAAAAATCTCAAATAGTTTAGTAAAGAAACTCAAAAGAAAAAATGACTGCATCGGTTTCACATCTTGTACAGTATTAAACTTTGTACTCGTGCCCGGGGTTAATTTATGCTGGAGTTAGCTCTACAGGATTATCTTGCACGCCGCATGCGCTAACTTCCTGACTGTTCTCAGCTGACGGGAATGCAAAAGTTCTACAGAACTGGTTTGGCAAGCAAGAAACATATCATGGCATTGGTCATATGAAACTCTACATACACATACAATCATAATGGATAGATGGAAGAATACATACGCATACACATACCATCATCGTGGAGAGAGGGAACACTACATACACATACACATACACATTCCATAATAGTGGAGAGAAGGAAAACTACAAAGACATACCATTAGAATGCATAAAGCTACCTAATTTTTTAAACTGAACATGATTACTTTTTGGCGATTGTGGAGATATAATACACCTACTTTTTCTAATCCTATTATCTAGTGATAAGTTGACAGATGATATATTCCAGTTCAGTACACATTTTTTTCTAAAATAACAATGGTGGTTTATTTTAATTTTAAATATAATATGATTGCTAACGATCAATGAAGTATTCCTGTACACAATTTTTACTTTCTCGTATATACGAAGTATAGAGAAAGTCTTGTAATCACTGATACGGAAAAACATAATTTTGCAATCTTGTCCGTATGTCTGTGTGTCTGTCTGTCTGTGTGTAAACACGATAACTTGAGTAGCGTTACAGCTCGGTTGATGAAATTTCATATATAGTATTTTATCAAAATCGTAGATCCGTATCAACTTTTGAGCGATTTCCGATAACCGGAAGTGGTACTTTTTCTACTTTGAATTTTACAAAAGCCTATAACTTAAGTACTGTTTCAGATAGATACATGGAATTTCACATGTGAGTATAAGTTCTAATTCTCCACCTTCTGTCAAATTTTGAGTAATTTCCGTTGAGTAATTTCCGTTACGCTATTTCCGATTTCTCAAAAAACGCATGTAAATTTATAAAGTACTAATAATATTGCGCACTATTATGCACATCTTTAATTGATTCTAATGAAGACCGTATGTCGAAACGCCCTTTCGTTTACTTACGTGTAGGCGCTATATTGTACACTTCTTTCACTTTTTTAAAATATTTTTTTAAAGCTAATAACAGTATTGTAAAATATTTAAAATTTTGAAAAACAATTTCGAATATTTTTTCACAAATAAGTATAGGAAATTTAGCTTGTTTTTAACGAAAACAAGATTATGGATTTTGGAATTAACAGGCTTTCAAAAGTCAGAACTTGTAGTTTCTGAACTTTTTCACCTTAATTAATCAATGTCATCAATTGACCTTGAATTATTTTTTTTGCGTCGTAATTATTAATTAAGTTGAAGCAGTAATCAATACCTCTCGACGTCATCTATTGTTAATGTGACAACAGGTGGTCCAATAGAAGTAGTGCTAGAATCTTATTAATGGGTGCAAATGTTAATGGTAATTCAATGATGGTAATAGTTTTACTGATAATTATATTTGCTAATTAGTGGTGGTATTTGCTACAAGTCTGTCTCACTTTATAATATTGATTATTAAAATTATGTTAAATGATTGAATTGCAGTCAAATTAAAAAAAAAATTAAAATTAATTTTTGGTTCAATGAATAAGCCTACATATTTAATTAATAGATTCATGAATTTTAAATTTCGCGGCTATGGTAGTTCAGTATTTTTTTACTGTTCTAATTTTTACCCTGTTATAGTTTTTTATATGTGGTGGTTCACTAGCTGTCGTAGTTCTATAGGTGTGGTAGTTTTATATCAGCGACGAAGTTCCTTAAAGCAATACCAGTGGCGTAGTTCCTTAAAACCATACCATTGATGTAGTTCCTTAAAGCCTTACCATTGATGTAGTTCCTTAAAGCCATACCAGAAACGTAGAACCAATAAGCTATCACATTGAGGAAATTGCCCACTCACTAAAAATTGCCTCACAGTCTTCAAAAATCAACAGTAGTGCTCATCGTCCTTCGTTAAGGTTGATTAGTCCAACACAACGACAATACAACATAATGACATTATTCTTTATAATGGTAAACAGATGGTAATCACATATCGTTAAGGTTGATTAGTCCAACACAACGACAACATTATTCTTTATTAATGGTTAAGGAGATGGTAATCTCATGTTGTTAAGGTAGATTAGTCCAACACAACGACAACATTATTCTTTATTAATGGTTAAGTAGATGGTAATCTCATATTGTTAAGGTTGATTAGTCCAACACACCAACAACATATTCACATTATTATTTATTAATGGTTAATTAGATGGTAATCCCATATTGTTAAGGGTGACTAGTCCAACACACCAACAACATAATCACATTATTATTTATTAATGGTTAAGTAGATGGTAATCTCATGTTGTTAAGAATGACGTGTCGTCTAGCAAAGTCAATATTTATAACATAATGGATTAACACTGTACTGAAATGTTAATGCTTGCGTGAGGTACTCTTCTATTTGGGGAGTTGTGTTTGTGTTTGTATTGCAATCATGGGGGTCAATGACACCCCCCCCCCCTATGGCACCTATGACTCCAACTGGTAAGGGTGGAAAAAATCATTACAAAATATGATCAGCTCAGTTTTGGAAGGTCAATAACCTGTAGTATTTAGTGCTGAGGTATTTTGTTAAATAATGCGTCGCACTTAAGTTGATGTTTGTTGGGGAGAAAGGGAGGGGATGGGGGGGGGGAAGTATGTTTCTGTAAACCTCACCAAAAGTGTGATAATACCGTCAAGTTATCTAGACATTGATATAATTATAAATCAAAAACACACAAAAAAGGATTCAGTTGAATTTTAATACATTTCTGAATCAAATGTGCATATATATACTAGAGACAATGTGAATATAGATACTAGAGACAATGTGAATATAGATACTAGAGACAATGTGAATATAGATACTAGAGACAATGTGCTTATAGATACTAGAGGACTTTGTACCTAAAGATATTACAGGACACTGTGCTCTCAGTTGAAGCACTTTAGCATGGCTCGCGTGCGACTGAAAATAAAAATCTATATTATCCTATCAACTTCGGTTTATTTTTCTTTTCTTTCATTTCCACCTTATGCTGCTTCACCTCCATTTTCAATCGCTTCCTCTCCATCTTCAAAACTCTTTGCTTTTACTTTACCTTAACTTTCTCCCAAGCACACACACACATAACGACTGACACACACATACACACACACACACACATATATATATATATATATATATATATATATATATATATATATATATATATATATATATATTCATCTACATTTTACATCTGTAGGGTATGTAAATTTCCCTTTAAGTATTTAGCAACAAAATCCCTTGTATATAAGGAGAATAATGACTAGAACAACGAGCGCAGCTAGACAACACAGCAGGATGAACCACCAAGTCGTGTAAAACTTCTCTGTAGTGTCCACTTGATGACTGGTATCTTCGGCCACGCTTTTAATCTCTTCTGGAACGTTGAAAAATAAAACTACCTTTAACTCAGAGCCATGACAGGTATAATGGTTATACTTTGCTGTCTTTGATATATGTATATATATATATATATAGGCTATATATATATATATATATATATATATATATATATATATATATATATATAGCCTATATATATATATATATATATATATATATATATATATATATATATATATACTTTGCTGTCTTTGATAATATATATATATATATATATATATATATATTTATATATATATATATATATATATATATATATATATATATATATATATATATATATATATATATATATATATATATATATATATATATACATATGTATATACATATATATATATATGTATATATATGTATATATATATATATATATATATATATATATATATATATATATATATATATATATATATATATATATATATATATATATATATATATATATATCAATGTGCCACTTGCACATTCTTAACGTCTAGTATGACTTCTTCGACCGACTATATCTATATATATCTATATTTTCTGCATCTTTAAGAGAATGTTAGATATCACAAGATATTTTTAAAATCCTTATATTTCCAAAAAAGTGAATGGCATATTATAGTTATAAATCTTTGTAATTACATTTTTGGGAAATAAAACGACATGCCTTAAATATTTTTCAAGCCTATGCTAGTTATTTATCAATTAACCTAGCTAATTTTTTTAAAACTGTTTACATCTATAAAGGTGAATATTCCTTGATAGTTTTACATTATTATGTTACTTCATAAAAGTGAATATCACAATAATTATTCAAATTGCAACATCCATTACTCGGAATTTCACATGATTATTTTACTTCCATTAACGTTGATATCACATACAAAATTTAAAAATACTTTCCACATGAAAGCTAATAATAATGCGTACCTAAAAAATTTGAATATCACGTAACAGCTTAAAAAATGCGTACCTCCAAAAATATGAATATCACGTAAAAGTTTTAAAAATGTGTACCTACAAAAATTTGAATATCACACGAAAGCTTAAAAAATGTGTACCTCCAAAGATTTGAAGATCACATGAAAGCTTTAAAAAGGTGTACCTCCAAAAATGTGAATATCACATAAAAGCTTTAAAAATGCGTACCTCCAAAAATATGAATATCACGTAAAAGCTTTAAAAATGTGTACCTCCAAAAATTTGAATATCACATAAAAGCTTTAAAAATGTGTACCTCCAAAAATTTGAATATCACATAAAAGCTTTAAAAAGGTGTACCTCAAAAATGTGAATATCACATAAAAGCATAAAAAAATGTGTACCTCCATAAATTTGAATATCACACAGCCTCATCTCCGTCTTGTAGGATAAAATCTCCACATAGTCCACCTCTGTGTCCACGTCTAAAAAATATTTTCCTTGTCTGATCTCCTCTATACGGTACTTGCAGACCCGCTTCAGATTCTTGATACACGTGATGTCCAGCTTCCAGGGTAGGGGGGAGACTGTGGTCAAAGGAGTGTAGCAAGCAAGTTACATCAGACACAGTGGGGTGTAGAATGTACAGTTAGATCAGACAAAACATATAGTATAATAGTCAGTGGGGTGTAGCAAGCAAGTTACATCAGACAATATATATTATATAATACACAGTCCGCTGGAGATGTGTGTCTGCAGCCCTTTGCTCCCCAGGGGCCATAAAGGAGTGATGATGATGATGATGATGAATACACAGTGGGGTGTAGCAAGCAAGTTAAATCAGACAAAACATATAGTATTAGACACAGTGAGTTGTATCATGTACAGTTAGATCAGACAATACATATAGTAGGAGAAACAGTGAGTTCTTTCAAACCATTGAAATATCCTGTAGGGCGCGGTTTGAGCTGTAGCATCCCCACCATCTCCCCACCACCTCCCCACCACCTCCCCACCACCTCCCCACCACCTCCCCACCACCTCCCCACCACCTCCCCACCACCTCCCCACCACCTCCCCACCACCTCCCCACCACCTCCCCACCACCTCCCCACCACCACCCCACCACCTCCCCACCACCATATGAGCATTTATATGACGTTGCTATGTGAGGAAGTTTGTGAGTGTTTTGCAGAATGGCGTGTGTAGTGTTTTGGTTCAGTTTGTCGGGTGGGGGTTAGGAAGGTATGGTGGATTTCGGACCGGGGTTTTCCTGGTTGTAGGAAAATAGTCATATAAAAAAAACTCATAAATATGTGTTAGTATGTAATTTAATAGTTTTATTTATTAAATATTCAGAAAGTGTAAATCAACTTACGATTCAAATGTAATGTAAATATTTTAGATATTTGTGATTTTTTTACATTCACCGTTTTTTTTTTGAGATAATCACCTAGAGCAAAGCACCACAAGACAACAATGACGAGCAACATACTAGGCAGAAATAAAACCAGTCGTAAGAGTTTGAATTCCTGTGGGATGTCAATGAGTACAAGTTCTGGACTGTCCGTCTCAACACATCCACGCACCGGACCTGAGAATGACAATTTGACATCATCAATAACTTAAAACTATTGAAATAAAATAGTACGGGTGTAATGCAGTTTTTTTTAAGTACAGTTAAGTAGACCCAGTGGCGTAGCGAGGTAGAGTGTCACCCGGTGCGGCACTTAATGGTGTCACCCCCCCCCCCCCCCTACAGGCTACTTTCAATTTTCGATTTGCATCCTCCCTCGAACTTTCGATTTGCACCCCTCCCTCAAATTTTTCACTATATATTTTACTACATTTTGCCTTGGTGTCACCCCCTAAATGGTGTCACCCGGTGCGATCCGCACCCCCCGCCCACTCCCCCCCCCCCTCGCTACGCCTCTGAGTAGACCATATTATAGGTACACATTGAATCTTTCGATAAAGATGGCGGAAGCTCATACGTTGCAAGCAAACAAAGGGTGAGTGGGATTTGTGCGAATAATAGGACATTTTTTGGTGCCACACTCCAAGGTAAGCCATACGTGGGTAACATTGACACGATTTTCTAACATCAACTCACGTGGGTAACATTGACACGTTTATCTAACATCAACTCACACCTACCTGGTTCAGCTAATGAGGATTGGCCTAATTAAAAATATCTCAAAGTCTACTGATAGGAGCTAATAAAAATGGGCCTAATTAACATTAGCTTCCAGCCTTATAATATGAGCTAATTAAAATTGGCCCAATTAACTAATTAGCTTCCAGCCTTCTGGTACATCTAATTGGCCTTATTAACATTAGGTTCTAGCCCTCTAAAAGGAGCTAATTAAAATGGGCCTAATTAACTACTTAGCATCCAGCCTTCTGGCAGGGGTCAACTTACGTGGGGTGGTCGGAATCTTACAGATTGGAGATTCTAAAGCCGTTGGGATCTGGGCAGATCGTGGGTCGTAGGCAATGGTGTCGTTCAGTGTTATCTGCTAATGAAGTCATATCACTTGGTGTCATGTCAAATCTATGTAACCTTAAGTCAAGCAATGGTGTCGTTTGATGTTATCTGCTGATGTAAGTCATATCACTTGGTGTCATGTCAAATCTATGTAACCTTAAGTCAAGCAATGGTGTCGTTTGATGTTATCTACTGATGTAAGTCATATCACTTGGTGTCATGTCAAATCTATGTAACCTTAAGTCAAGCAATGGTGTCGTTTGGTGTTATCTACTGATGTAAGTCATATCACTCGGTGTCATGTCAAATCTATGTAACCTTAAGTCAAGCAATGGTGTCGTTTGGTGTTATCTACTGATGTAAGTCATATCACTTGGTGTCATGTCAAATCTATGTAACCTTAAGTCAAGCAAGGGTGTCGTTTGATGTTATCTGCTGATGTAAGTCATATCACACGGTGTCATGTCAAATCTATGTAAACTTCATAAAAGTGTCATTCAGTGTTATCTACTGATAGAAGTCATTTTATTTGGTGTCATGTCAAATCTATGTAACCTAATCTATGTAATCTAAAGTCAGTCAGAAAGGTGTCCTTTGGCCCTATCTGTTTATGTATGTCATATTACTTGGTGTCATCTTAAATCTGTGTTAACTTAAGTCACGCACATAGATGTTGCTCAGCACTATATAGTTAGAAATCTTACATCGCTTGTGTTGTTTAAAATATATGTTATCTTTAAAGGGTTATGCTCATGTTTTTTTTTCTATTCTTCACAATTTAATACCTGAAGCCCTTTAAATACTTAAGCCATTTTAGACTCACACAAGTAAATATTCAAAGATAAATGCGTTTGAAAACAGTACCGGTTGTCATGGAAACCCGAAAAAAAATCAGCCAATTTTTAATTTTTGGCGTTTTTAAAAACACTAAATTTTTTTGTTTATGCACATATAGCAATCAAATGTACAATGCTTATAGTTCAGTATCTATTTATACTCGTCATGACACATTTTTCATCCAACTACTGGTTAGAATTCTAGAAGGTTCGAAAAAATGCACCCTTCTTAATTAATATGTGAATAGTTTTAAAATTTTCATTTTTTAAAGATACATTTTATTTCTATAAAATTCTTGACAATTTCCTGGTGATTAAAGTTTTTTTTAATGAACGACAAATACTGAATAAGTATTGCGCATTGTTGTATTAATAAAAATGAAATAGACATTTTAGTGTTAAAAATAAGAAATGAGAAAAATAGTAAAATCTAACAAAAAGTTGTAATGAAAAAACCACATGTGGTATTTGTAAACCCATTTGTAAGATTTGAGTGTTTCTGAGCTGTCGAAAAATAATATTAACAAATACATGACAAATACAGTTTTCCAATGATGCCAAAAACAATAAGGTGACGGATATTGAAATGAATTATTAACTTTTAATTAATAAGGTCGTAAAAATTGTATATTAAAGGCTAAAAAATTAATAAGTTCTTATATTCTTAATTTGAAAAAAATGAACTCAGCATTCACAAGTGGGAAAACCTATTATGACGAAAATCAGAATTTTTGTAAATTTCTGCTGAGCGTATCAAATTAAGACATTTATAATGGTGTCATTGATTAGTTTATAATTAAAAATTAAATAACAAGAGGTCAGCTAAAATATATGTAGCCTGTAATCAAAGTGAATGGTGTTACCAGTTGCCGTACTAACAAAGTACATTAGAAATCACCCATAATGGTCTCATCGGACAGACTATTTTTTCCTTAGACATGTAATTTACAGCGTCAGTTTGCCTTGCATGTTCGCTTTAGTAGTTTTCATCATCGGCTTGCGAGGACTGATACAGATTTACAATAGTAATATTTCTTTATTACTTGTAGCCTACTTTTATTCATTTTAGACGGATTACTTATACATAGATCGAATACAAAATCGGACAGACTTGGTTGCGATTAGGGGCCATACTAGATTTCTATAATTAAATCCAATAAAACACATAGTTCTGTGTTTGTAAAACTTAGTTATGCATCTAACGGATGGCACTGATGCACATACCTTAAAAATATCGCTGGGGGAGCGGGCTGGGTGCGCATACAAAGGGATCTCCCCCTTGGCCCGAGCCCCGTAGATGATACACCCAAAATCGACCCCTACAGGGGCCGATAGGTACCGGTTACTCAGCGTTACTTCAAACGACGTGACGACGTAGTTATCTCTCTTTGGCTGAACATCAGCGAAAGTAACTCTGTAGGAAATGTTTTTATACGTCTTATGGTTGCATACCTTGCTTCAGATGCTAACTCAACAAAAAAGTATTTGGTAAACCAATGGCACAAGTCTAATACACAATACACTCATTAATATGACAACATTGATGTAGATATTCTTCTGAATGCAATCAATTGCCTAACTATATGTAATATATTGCTTTAATTTAGATTTTTAATGTATTTGCGAACATTACATGTTCAGTTTGTTATTTTAATAACCTTATTGGTTACTATCTCCCGAAGTTCATACGGGGAGGGGGGTCTTAGGTGGTATATTAGCCTATAAACACCATGATAAAAGTTTTGTTTACATTAAGGTTTAGCGTAAAGTGACAGTGTACACTTTTAACATCTCAATTGTGTTTGTGTTTTGGTTTCGGTTGTGGTTGGTTAGGGTTAGTGTTAGTGTTAAGGGTTAGAATTGGGTTAAGGGTTATGTGTTACTTTCTTAAACATCCATATTTGCATAAAGACATTTGATTGTAAATGTAATATATTTCCTATACCCGGGCAATGGCGGGTATATACTGCTTAATAGACACACAAGTCATGTTCCTTTACAGATAAGTTTTTCTCAGAAGCAGGGGTGGGACGGCTAGTATATATATATATATATATATATATATATATATATATATATATATATATATATATATATATATATATATATATATATATATATATATGGAAAAGATCAAGCCCCACGGCGTTGCACTACAAACTCACGTCGCTATATAGTAATGTCAGTATATAATAACGTCACTGAATAATAACGTCATTGAATAATAACGTCATTGAATAATAACGTCACTGAATAATAATGTCAGTATATCATGACATCACTGAATAATAAACCTTACTGACATGAAAGACATGTCTACAACAGATAAACACATTCTCTGACGTGAAGCAACAACGAACGAGCAGGTGAATGCACGAGATGTACTCACGTCTCTGTGATATTTTCCCCGTCCAGCAGTAGAGAGCTGAAGTTCCCGTTCTTCACGATCACACTGACGAAGTGTTTGATCTCAGGGAACTCTAAGGTTGGGTACCTAGCAGCGAAAATTGAGCGCTAGACTAGAGACTAAACACCATGGTTCGTTTAAAATATTTGGAGCATATTTCAACAAAAGGTCAACACTGGAGTGTTTTCTAACTGTTTAAGTCCCGAGTTCGGAACCCTGGACAGCCGGTAGGCGTCATTTAACGACACCACCCATAGGTGATTCTAAAATCCAATAATTGTCTTGCACATTTTTTAAACGACAAAGAAAATATAAAGAAAAGCAGGCTGAACTGTTGTGTCGCCCTTACAAGTATATAATTTGGGTTCTTATCACGAAATGCTCGCTAGTGCAAAATGATACTTTAACAACACCTCATAAAACGAAGTAATAAAATCTAACCATCAGTATGTAAAAGTTGGTGTAGTACATACATCAGTATGTAAAAGTTGGTGTAGTACATACATCAGTATGTAAAAGTTGGTGTAGAACATACATCAGTATGTAAAAGATGGTGTAGTACCTACATCAATATGTAAAAGTTGGTGTAGTACCTACATCAGTATGTAAAAGTTGGTGTAGTACCTACATCAGTATGTAAAAGTTGGTGTAGTACCTACATCAGTATGTAAAAGTTGGTGTAGTACCTACATCAGTATGTAAAAGTTGGTGTAGTACCTACATCAGTATGTAAAAGTTGGTGTAGTACCTACATCAGTATGTAAAAGTTGGTGTAGTACCTACATCAGTATGTAAAAGTTGGAGTCGTACCTACATCAGTATGTAAAAGTTGGTGTAGTACCTACATCAGTATGTAAAAGTTGGTGTAGTACCTACATCAGTATGTAAAAGTTGGTGTAGTACCTACATCAGTATGTAAAAGTTGGTGTAGTACCTACATCAGTATGTAAAAGTTGGTGTAGGTCGACACAGGCATTAGCTGTGTGAAGGCTGTCTTTGAGAAATATACGTTTCCCCCTATTGTGAACTTAGCAATATACGTATGGGCCTTTATGCTGTATTTTACATCTTCCTGTAATATCCAAAGAACGTTGGGTTGTTATTATCATAAATAAACCGGGAGTGATCTCCCCTAAACTTTCTCGATTATTCTAGTATAACACTACGGGGGATGGCAACTCGGGACATAGACAATATTTTTTATCCATTTTTAATAACTTAAACTTTTTACTTTCTCGTATATACGAAGTATAGAGAAAGTCGTGTAATCGTGCTAAAATAAAAATGAGATTTTTGCAGATCTCGACGTTTTACACCTCCCTAGGTCGGAAAAACATAGTTTTGCAATCTTGTCCGTATGCCTGTGTGTGTGTGTATGTGTGTGTCTGTCTGTCTGTAATAACTTGAGTACCGTTACAGCTAGGTTGATGAAATTTCATATTTAAGTATTATATCAAAATCGTAGATCCTTATCAACTTTTGATAAACTGAAGTTGTACTTTTTTTACTTTAAATTTTTCAAAAGCCTATAACTTGGGTACTATTTTAGATAGATAAATGAAATTTCACATGTAAGTAAAATTTCTAATTTTCTACCTTCTGTCAAATTTTGAGTAATTTCCGTTGACCGGAAGTAGTAATTTAAGCTATTTCCGATTTCTCAGACACACACACATTTACAGACTCACACGCATACACACACAGACGTACAGAGAGGATTGCAAAACTTTGTTTTTTTCGACTCAGGGAGGTGTAAAACTTCGAGATTACAATATCTTCTCTATACTTTGTATATACGAGAAAGTAAAAAAAAGTAAAGAATCATCATTAGACCTAGCGATCATATTGGGGATGTTTCTCTACCTCGGCATATGAAGGGAAGGTGTGAGTCAGAGATGGGTGGATACAAGGACGTTCTAGTGACTCGAACTCGACACTGTCGCGTAAGCAGCCTAGGGCTCTACCACTTAGGCAACTTCAACACCATAATAGAAACAGTTTAGCACTGTTGACGCCTGGCTCTGGCGACCCTAGAAGAGGTTCTGTTGAGGGCTTGACACGCTTTGTTATCCTAACAAAACTCACTCTGCGTGCCACTAAACACATTTTATGTTCAATGTTTTATTACGAGATTTCTGTCATTAAAGCTTGTGGTCAGTGTTTTATTACGAGATTTCTGTCATTAAAGCTTGTGGTCAGTGTTTTATTACAAGATTTCTGTCATTAAAGCTTGTAGTCAGTGTTTTATTACGAGATTTCTGTCATTAAAGCTTGTGGTCAGTGTTTGATCACGTGGCATCTGTCAATAAACTTCTGGCCAGTGTGTGCTCACCTGGTACACCGCCCCCGCGAACGGAGCTGTGATGTTGGTCTCTGTGACGTCATCCACCCTCAGGTAAGTCTGCGACGCAATGTCTTCGTTAGATCTGGTCATCAAGATGGTGGACTTTATGAGCTCGCCCGCGTGATATTGTTTACCCAGTGTCTCACACGGCCAAAGTTGTTCTAGGACAGATGGTGATGGGTGGAGGTTAGTCTTGATGGCATTTGACATTGAAGATAGTGATTGTTGGGTCGTGATGGGTTGTTTGGGTCGTGATGGGTTGTTTTGGTCGTGATGGGTTGTTTGGGTCGTGATGGGTTGTTTGGGTCGTGGTGGGTTGTTTGGGTCGTGATGGGTCGTTTGGGTCGTGATGGGGTTGTTTGGGTCGTGATGGGTTGTTTGGGTCGTGATGGGTTGTTTGGGTCGTGATGGGTTGTTTGGGTCGTGATGGGTTGTTTGGGTCGTGATGGGTTGTTTGGGTCGTGATGGGTTGTTTGGGTCGTGATGGGTTGTTTGGGTCGTGATGGGTCGTTTGGGTCGTGATGGGGTTGTTTGGGTCGTGGGGTCGTGATGGGTTGTTTGGGTCGTGGTGGGTTGTTTGGGTCGTGATGGGTTGTTTGGATCGTGATGGGTCGTTTGGGTCGTGATGGGGTTGTTTGGGTCGTTATGGGGTTGTTTGGGTCGTGATGGGTTGTTTGGGTCGTGAAGGTTGTTTGGGTCGTGATGGGTTGTTTGGGTCATGATGGGGATGGAGATGGTTGGACAGATGCACTAAGGCACTTACTTGGGACTGACCTACACTATGATCAACAACTAAGACTGACCTACAAAACAACCAACACCTAAGACTGACCTACAAAACGACCAACACCTAAGACTGACCTACAAAACGACCAACACCTAAGACTGACCTACAAAATGACCAACACCTGGACTGACCTACAAAACGACCAACACCTGGACTGACCTACAACACCACAGACACCTTGAACTACCACTCACCTGCACTGTAACACGAGTATTCTTTACATACTAAGAGCATGACGGCCACAGGCTTCTCCGCGTTCACCCATGCACCTGCCGATAATACAGTTCTGATACAAGTTGCAAAAGTTCCACGACAAATAATCTCAAATGAAATACCTTAGGTAAAAAGAGTCAGGCCAAAGATATCATGGAATAAAAATATCATTACAAAATCGTAGACCAAATAAGTTGTTCTAGATATTTATGATGTCGATGTATCCTTGTAAGCTCGCGCACTGTAAATTACTGTGTCGTGACGCCGTGGATTGTACATTTATTTATAACTGTGCCACCATAAACCTGACAAAACAGGTGTAATATTTTAAACCTGTCGAAATTAGTGGACAAACATTTACAATCTATCACATTATGTAAAAAGTGTGTAGTGTAAAATACTAAAACTTGTAAATACATTAAGGAAATACATTGTATAAATTTTGAAAAGTTGAGATTTAGGTAAATACATAGTAAAAAATGTAATTGATCAAATTTAAGTAAATACGTTGTAAATATTTTAAAATGATCACATTTAGGGAAATACATAGTAAAAAATTAAAAATGTTGACATTTACTGAAATACTTTGTAAAAATTAAAAATGTTGACATTTAGGTAAATACACTGTACAAATTTTAAAATGTTTACATTTAGGTAAATACATTGTAAAAATTTTGAAATGTACATATATAGTTAAATACATTGTCAAAAATTTGAAATGTTCACATTTAAGTAAATACATTGTACAAATTTTAAAATGTTCACATTTAAGTAAACACATTGTAAAAATTTTAAAATGTTCACATTTAAGTAAATACACTGTAAAAATTTTAAAATGTTGACATTTAGAAAAACTGTGGTCTAATTTAAAAGCTGCCACAACGTTCTTCCACCTTCCAACTCAAACTAAAGTGTGTATCAAGTAAGTTCCTTACCCAGGTATACATAATCCTTTAACGTCATATTCCTTAGACTTATCCTGAAACCTTTCCACCTGTGTAAGGATACAATGGTTGTTTTATTATAACAGATCAACGTTTATTTATATTGCTCATCCAATGATACATGTCAAACGTATACAACTGTGAACACATATACAGCCTGAAGAAGGCAATGACATATACTAATGTATATTAGAAACATATGAGTAGTTGTTTTTTTTTAACCCACAAGACTAAAGAAATTGAAATAAAATTTGTTTTATTAAATTTTTATTATCTAGTTACCTTATGACAGTTAAAGTATGTGTATCTCAGGGTGTATCATGGACATATCTCAAGATTTATTTTTTAAGTAAAAGTAAAGTTTCTCTTTCAAACTTAACGGTCTATTGGGCAAGTGAAGTAGAGTTCACTTGTTTCTGTGACCTCGGCATATGAAGAGATAGTGTGGTCAGCACTATGCCCAGCCGCCTCTACTATCCTTAACGTGAGTTAGGTACCCATCAGAGCTGGGTGGACTCAGGGACTTTATTTTTACTTTCTCGTATATACGAAGTATAGAGAAAGTATTGTAATCGTGCAAAAAAAAATCGAGTTTTTACAAATCTCGACGTTTTACACTCTGATACAGAAAAACATAATTTTGCAATCTTGTCCGTATGTCTCTGTGTCTGTGTGTGTGTCTGTGTGTAAACACGATAACTTGAGTACCGTTACAGCTAGGTTGATGAAATTTCATATATAAGTATTATCTCAAAATCGTAGATCCGTTTCAACTTTTGAGCGATTTCCGATAACCGGAAGTGGTACTTTTTCTACTTTGAATTTTTAAAAAGCCAATAACTTGATTACTATTTCAGACAGATAAAAATGAAATTTCACATGTAAGTAAAAGATCTAATTCACTACCTTCTTTCAAATTTTGAGTAATTTCCGTTGACCGAAAGAACTAATTTACGCTATTTCCGATTTCTCAAAAAACTCACGTAAATTTATAAAGTACTAATAATATCCCGCACTATTATGCACATTTTATTAGGCGTTCCCTTGGTGTGCAATTCTTTTTTTTTTACGAGATTCCATTCTATTATAAAAAGTTTAAGTAATTAAAAATGGATTACAAATATTGTCTATGTCCTGAGTTGCCATCCCTCGTAGTTTTATATTAGAATATTCGAGAACGTTTAGGGGAGATCGATCACTCGCGGTTTATTTTCTTTTTTTTTAATGTATTTTTTTCTGTGAATATCAGCCTAGAGGCTGTATAAGGTGTGTGGGTAAGGTGTGTGGGTAGACTGTGTGGGTAAGGTGTGTGGGTAGACTGTGTGGGTAAGGTGTGTGGGTAGACTGTGTGGGTAAGGTGTGTGGGTAGACTGTGTGGGTAAGGTGTGTGGGTAAGGTGTGTGGGTAGACTGTGTGGGTAAGGTGTGTGGGTAGACAGTGTGGGTAAGGTGTGTGGGTAAGGTGTGTGGGTAGACAGTGTGGGTAAGGTGTGTGGGTAAGGTGTGTGGGTAGACTGTGTGGGTAAGGTGTGTGGGTAAGGTGTGTGGGTAGACTGTGTGGGTAAGGTGTGTGGGTAGACTGTGTGGGTAAGGTGTGTGGGTAGACTGTGTGGGTAAGGTGTGTGGGTAAGGTGTGTGGGTAGACTGTGTGGGTAAGGTGTGTGGGTAGACTGTGTGGGTAAGGTGTGTGGGTAAGGTGTGTGGGTAGACTGTGTGGGTAAGGTGTGTGGGTAGACTGTGTGGGTAAGGTGTGTGGGTAGACTGTGTGGGTAAGGTGTGTGGGTAGACTGTGTGGGTAAGGTGTGTGGGTAAGGTGTGTGGGTAGACTGTGTGGGTAAGGTGTGTGGATAAGGTGTGTGGGTAGACTGTGTGGGTAAGGTGTGTGGGTAGTGTGTGGGTAAGGTGTGTGGGTAGACTGTGTGGGTAAGGTGTGTGGGTAGACTGTGTGGGTAAGGTGTGTGGGTAGTGTGTGGGTAAGGTGTGTGGGTAGACTGTGTGGGTAAGGTGTGTGGGTAAGGTGTGTGGGTAGACTGTGTGGGTAAGGTGTGTGGGTAGACTGTGTGGGTAAGGTGTGTGGGTAGACTGTGTGGGTAAGGTGTGTGGGTAGACTGTGTGGGTAAGGTGTGTGGGTAGTGTGTGGGTAAGGTGTGTGGGTAGACTGTGTGGGTAAGGTGTGTGGGTAGTGTGTGGGTAAGGTGTTTGGGTAAAGTGTGTGGGTAGACTGTGTGGGTAAGGTGTGTGGGTAGACTGTGTGGGTAAGGTGTGTGGGTAGACTGTGTGGGTAAGGTGTGTGGGTAGACTGTGTGGGTAAGGTGTGTGGGTAAGGTGTGTGGGTAGACTGTGTGGGTAAGGTGTGTGGGTAGACTGTGTGGGTAAGGTGTGTGGGTAGACTGTGTGGGTAAGGTGTGTGGGTAAGGTGTGTGGGTAGACTGTGTGGGTAGACTGTGTGGGTAGACTGTGTGGGTAAGGTGTGTGGGTAGACTGTGTGGGTAAGGTGTGTGGGTAGACTGTGTGGGTAAGGTGTGTGGGTAGACTGTGTGGGTAAGGTGTGTGGGTAGACTGTGTGGGTAAGGTGTGTGGGTAAGGTGTGTGGGTAGACTGTGTGGGTAAGGTGTGTGGGTAGACTGTGTGGGTAAGGTGTGTGGGTAGACTGTGTGGGTAAGGTGTGTGGGTAGACTGTGTGGGTAAGGTGTGTGGGTAGACTGTGTGGGTAAGGTGTGTGGGTAAGGTGTGTGGGTAGACTGTGTGGGTAAGGTGTGTGGGTAAGGTGTGTGGGTAGACTGTGTGGGTAAGGTGTGTGGGTAGACTGTGTGGGTAAGGTGTGTGGGTAGACTGTGTGGGTAAGGTGTGTGGGTAAGGTGTGTGGGTAGACTGTGTGGGTAAGGTGTGTGGGTAAGGTGTGTGGGTAGACTGTGTGGGTAAGGTGTGTGGGTAGACTGTGTGGGTAAGGTGTGTGGGTAGACTGTGTGGGTAAGGTGTGTGGGTAGACTGTGTGGGTAAGGTGTGTGGATAAGGTGTGTGGGTAGACTGTGTGGGTAAGGTGTGTGGATAAGGTGTGTGGGTAGACTGTGTGGGTAAGGTGTGTGGGTAGTGTGTGGGTAAGGTGTGTGGGTAGACTGTGTGGGTAAGGTGTGTGGGTAGACTGTGTGGGTAAGGTGTGTGGGTAGTGTGTGGGTAAGGTGTGTGGGTAGACTGTGTGGGTAAGGTGTGTGGGTAAGGTGTGTGGGTAGACTGTGTGGGTAAGGTGTGTGGGTAGACTGTGTGGGTAAGGTGTGTGGGTAGACTGTGTGGGTAAGGTGTGTGGGTAGACTGTGTGGGTAAGGTGTGTGGGTAGTGTGTGGGTAAGGTGTGTGGGTAGACTGTGTGGGTAAGGTGTGTGGGTAGTGTGTGGGTAAGGTGTGTGGGTAGACTGTGTGGGTAAAGTGTGTGGGTAGACTGTGTGGGTAAGGTGTGTGGGTAGACTGTGTGGGTAAGGTGTGTGGGTAGACAGTGTGGGTAAGGTGTGTGGGTAGACTGTGTGGGTAAGGTGTGTGGGTAGACAGTGTGGGTAAGGTGTGTGGGTAGACTGTGTGGGTAAGGTGTGTGGGTAGACTGTGTGGGTAAGGTGTGTGGGTAGACTGTGTGGGTAAGGTGTGTGGGTAAGGTGTGTGGGTAGACTGTGTGGGTAAGGTGTGTGGGTAGACTGTGTGGGTAAGGTGTGTGGGTAGACTGTGTGGGTAAGGTGTGTGGGTAAGGTGTGTGGGTAGACTGTGTGGGTAGACTGTGTGGGTAGACTGTGTGGGTAAGGTGTGTGGGTAGACTGTGTGGGTAAGGTGTGTGGGTAGACTGTGTGGGTAAGGTGTGTGGGTAGACTGTGTGGGTAAGGTGTGTGGGTAGACTGTGTGGGTAAGGTGTGTGGGTAAGGTGTGTGGGTAGACTGTGTGGGTAAGGTGTGTGGGTAGACTGTGTGGGTAAGGTGTGTGGGTAGACTGTGTGGGTAAGGTGTGTGGGTAGACTGTGTGGGTAAGGTGTGTGGGTAGACTGTGTGGGTAAGGTGTGTGGGTAGACTGTGTGGGTAGACTGTGTGGGTAAGGTGTGTGGGTAAGGTGTGTGGGTAAGGTGTGTGGGTAGACTGTGTGGGTAGACTGTGTGGGTAAGGTGTGTGGGTAAGGTGTGTGGGTAGACTGTGTGGGTAAGGTGTGTGGGTAAGGTGTGTGGGTAAGGTGTGTGGGTAGACTGTGTGGGTAAGGTGTGTGGGTAAGGTGTGTGGGTAGACTGTGTGGGTAGACTGTGTGGGTAAGGTGTGTGGGTAGACTGTGTGGGTAGACTGTGTGGGTAAGGTGTGTGGGTAAGGTGTGTGGGTAAGGTGTGTGGGTAGACTGTGTGGGTAAGGTGTGTGGGTAAGGTGTGTGGGTAGACTGTGTGGGTAAGGTGTGTGGGTAGACTGTGTGGGTAAGGTGTGTGGGTAAGGTGTGTGGGTAAGGTGTGTGGGTAAGGTGTGTGGGTAGACTGTGTGGGTAAGGTGTGTGGGTAAGGTGTGTGGGTAGACTGTGTGGGTAAGGTGTGTGGGTAAGGTGTGTGGGTAAGGTGTGTGGGTAGACTGTGTGGGTAAAGTGTGTGGGTAGACTGTGTGGGTAAGGTGTGTGGGTAGACTGTGTGGGTAAGGTGTGTGGGTAGACTGTGTGGGTAAGGTGTGTGGGTAGACTGTGTGGGTAGACTGTGTGGGTAAGGTGTGTGGGTAAGGTGTGTGGGTAAGGTGTGTGGGTAAGGTGTGTGAGTAGACTGTGTGGGTAAGGTGTGTGGGTAGACTGTGTGGGTAAGGTGTGTGGGTAGACTGTGTGGGTAAGGTGTGTGGGTAGACTGTGTGGGTAGACAGTGTGGGTAAGGTGTGTGGGTAAGGTGTGTGGGTAGACTGTGTGGGTAGACTGTGTGGGTAGACTGTGTGGGTAAGGTGTGTGGGTAGACTGTGTGGGTAAGGTGTGTGGGTAGACTGTGTGGGTAGACAGTGTGGGTAAGGTGTGTGGGTAAGGTGTGTGGGTAAGGTGTGTGGGTAGACTGTGTGGGTAAGGTGTGTGGGTAGACTGTGTGGGTAAGGTGTGTGGGTAAGGTGTAGGTGTGTGGGCAGACTGTGTGGGTAGACTGTGTGGGTAGACTGTGTGGGTAGACTGTGTGGGTAGACTGTGTGGGTAAGGTGTGTGGGTAGACTGTGTGGGTAAGGTGTGTGGGTAGACTGTGTGGGTAAGGTGTGTGGGTAGACTGTGTGGGTAAGGTGTGTGGGCAGACTGTGTGGGTAAGGTGTGTGGGTAGACTGTGTGGGTAAGGTGTGTGGGTAGACTGTGTGGGTAAGGTGTGTGGGTAGACAGTGTGGGTAAGGTGTGTGGGTAGAAAGTGTGGGTAAGGTGTGTGGGTAAGGTGTGTGGGTAAGGTGTGTGGGTAGACTGTGTGGGTAAGGTGTGTGGGTAGACAGTGTGGGTAGACTGTGTGGGTAAGGTGTGTGGGTAAGGTGTGTGGGTAAGGTGTGTGGGTAAGGTGTGTGGGTAGACTGTGTGGGTAAGGTGTGTGGGTAGACTGTGTGGGTAAGGTGTGTGGGTAAGGTGTGTGGGTAAGGTGTGTGGGTAGACTGTGTGGGTAGACTGTGTGGGTAAGGTGTGTGGGTAAGGTGTGTGGGTAGACTGTGTGGGTAGACTGTGTGGGTAAGGTGTGTGGGTAGACTGTGTGGGTAAGGTGTGTGGGTAAGGTGTGTGGGTAAGGTGTGTGGGTAAGGTGTGTGGGTAGACTGTGTGGGTAAGGTGTGTGGGTAGACTGTGTGGGTAAGGTGTGTGGGTAGACTGTGTGGGTAAGGTGTGTGGGTAGACTGTGTGGGTAAGGTGTGTGGGTAAGGTGTGTGGGTAAGGTGTGTGGGTAAGGTGTGTGGGTAGACTGTGTGGGTAAGGTGTGTGGGTAGACTGTGTGGGTAAGGTGTGTGGGTAGACTGTGTGGGTAAGGTGTGTGGGTAGACTGTGTGGGTAAGGTGTGTGGGTAGACTGTGTGGGTAAGGTGTGTGGGTAAGGTGTGTGGGTAGACTGTGTGGGTAAGGTGTGTGGGTAGACTGTGTGGGTAAGGTGTGTGGGCAGACTGTGTGGGTAAGGTGTGTGGGTAGACTGTGTGGGTAAGGTGTGTGGGTAGACTGTGTGGGTAAGGTGTGTGGGTAGACAGTGTGGGTAAGGTGTGTGGGTAGAAAGTGTGGGTAAGGTGTGTGGGTAAGGTGTGTGGGTAAGGTGTGTGGGTAGACTGTGTGGGTAAGGTGTGTGGGTAGACAGTGTGGGTAGACTGTGTGGGTAAGGTGTGTGGGTAAGGTGTGTGGGTAAGGTGTGTGGGTAAGGTGTGTGGGTAGACAGTGTGGGTAAGGTGTGTGGGTAGACAGTGTGGGTAAGGTGTGTGGGTAGACTGTGTGGGTGAGATGTTGCTTGGAAGCTCTTGGAGCTACATACATGCACAGCTAGTGCTAAATTAGATAGTACTACCACAGCTCTACCTATTGCTAAATCATATGCTACAGCCATGTTCCGGGTCAGTTTGTTGATGGTATATTAAATTCTACCAACACACCTACCTAGTGCTATATTAGATTCTACCAGCACACTGCTATATTAGATTCTACTAGCACACCTAGCTAGTGCTATATGAGATTCTACCAGCACACCTAGCTAGTGCTATATCAGATTCTACTAGCACACCTACCTAGTGCTATATTAGATTCTACCAGCACACTGCTATATTAGATTCTACCAGCACACCTAGCTAGTGCTATATCAGATTCTACTAGCACACCTACCTAGTGCTATATTAGATTCTACCAGCACACTGCTATATTAGATTCTACTAGCACACCTACCTAGTGCTATATTAGATTCTACCAGCACACCTAGCTAGTGCATTCTACCAGCACACCTAGCTAGTGCTATATGAGATTCTACCAGCACACCTACCTAGTGCTATATGAGATTCTACCAGCACACCTAGCTAGTGCTATATGAGATTCTACCAGCACACCTAGCTAGTGCTATATTAGATTCTACCAGCACACCTAGCTAGTGCTATATGAGATTCTACCAGCACACCTAGCTAGTGCTATATGAGATTCTACTAGCACACCTAGCTAGTGCTAGATGAGATTCTACCAGCACACCTAGCTAGTGCTATATGAGATTCTACCAGCACACCTAGCTAGTGCTATATGAGATTCTACCAGCACACCTAGCTAGTGCTATATCAGATTCTACCAGCACACCTAGCTAGTGCTATATAAGATTCTACCAGCACACCTAGCTAGTGCTATATCAGATTCTACCAGCACACCTAGCTAGTGCTATATGAGATTCTACCAGCATACCTAGCTAGTGCTATATCAGATTCTACCAGCATACCTAGCTAGTGCTATATCAGATTCTACCAGCACACCTAGCTGGTGCTATATGAGATTCTACCAGCACACCTAGCTAGTGCTATATGAGATTCTACCAGCACACCTAGCTAGTGCTATATTACATGTCACCACACATAATTCGTGCTGTATCTAATACTACTACCTTACGCTAACTAAAACACGTCCCAGTCTAGCTAGTAATGAAGCTTGAGACCGTGGTACCACAGGAAACAGTCCTGTTTTATTTATAGTCCCATAGATTCGACGTAAGGACGATTTTCTTGTGAAACTAGTCTTCGTGTTAGTGATCTTAGCTTATAGTATTTTGTTAAAAATGAGCGCGACATTTTTATCTTTGAATTTCAGAAAAGTTATCGTGATGAAAGTTAATTAATCAACCTTTGTTTTCACAAAATTTATCACGGTAAACGCTAACAAGCCAAGATTTGTATTCACAAAAGTGATGTAAGGACTTATTTTCTCAAACGAAACGAGATGGATAAATTAAAGACTTACATTCAAAGTATGTCGCATCTGATCTTCTGGCAAACAGATATCGAACACTTAAAGAAGTACATACAGTTGCCATACCAAATAGTGTCAACTAACAGCACGTAGAAGACATACAGTAACGACAACAAACAAAGTAAACTAACAGCACATAGACGACATACAGCAACAACAAACAGTCAACTAACAGCACAAATACGACTTACAGCAACAACAACACAGTCAACTAACAGCATATGGTAGACATTACTTTTCCAAATGTTGAATAATCCTCTGACCGTCCAACTTCTCCCCGGTCAGGTCTGTCGTACGTTTCCCAAAGCTGATGAGAACGTGCACACGAAAATCTTTCTCCTCCGAATACACGAAGATGTCGGTGTGGTATCTGTACTCAGAGAATCGATGTTATATATATATATATATACATATATATATATATATATATATATATATATATATATATATATATATATATATATATATATATATATATATGTTATATATATGTTATATATATGTTATATTACAATTTCAAACCGAGAGTTATGAGGAAACACTGGAATACAATACAACGTTTGATATAGGTAAAATATTATTATGAATGCTAAATTCTATGGAATATAACATATGATCATCACAAGATTATTCTCATCACTAAAGAAATGCATGTCAAACGAAGCACGCACACGGTGATTGTGAGCAGATATTCGGTACTCCAAAGCGACTTCTCTATTGGCCGCAGCGTGTCCAACACTGTGGTGCATGACGTCACACTGATGACCATATCAAATTCGGACGGTGAGTCGACCTTGAGGCAGTTATAGATCCCACCGTTAGTGGGCTCGCTGGAAAGATAAACACAAAACAGAAAAATGGAGCAATTAGCGAGGTTTAGGGTGGTCTAATGTGTTCGCTGGAAGGATAAACACAAAACAGAAAAATGGAGCAATTGGCGAGGTTTAGGGTGGTCTAATGTGTTCGCTGGAAGGATAAACACAAAACAGAAAAATGGAGCAATTAGCGAGGTTTAGGGTGGTCTAATGTGTTCGCTGGAAGGATAAACACAAAACAGAATGTTAATGTGACAAAACAGTTTAAAAAGTTCAATTGCCCAAGAGGTAGGACAATCAAATATGTGCCATGTGCCTTCATGTGTTCTCGACAAACAAGATGTTTAGTCACTTAAGTACCTCACATTTCTATAACTCGACTCTACTTGTGTACAGGAATATACGTGAAAGCTTAAGGTAGCTCACTCTTGATTTATTGAATTACTTTCACTTCCCTGTGTTGTGGCGAGGTAAGCAAGACACTCACTATGAGGAACAAAATGGCTACCTGACACAGTGGAACAAAATGGCTACCTGACAGAGTGGAACAAAATGGCTACCTGAAACTGTGACGACGAACAAAATGGCTACCTGACAGAGTGGAACAAAATGGCTACCTGAAACTGTGACGACGAACAAAATGGCTACCTGACAGAGTGGAACAAAATGGCTACCTGAAACTGTGACGACGAACAAAATGGCTACCTGACAGAGTGGAACAAAATGGCTACCTGACAGAGTGGAACAAAATGGCTACCTGACAGAGTGGAACAAAATGGCTACCTGTCAGTGTGGAACAAAATGGCTACCTGACAGTGTGGAACAAAATGGCTACCTGTGAGTGTGGAACAAAATGGCTACCTGAAACTGTGACGACGAACAAAATGGCTACCTGTCAACGAAAGTGTAACGTAGAGGCGTGGATTCATTGAAGTTGTACGTGTTTGTCACCGAAAAGCTGGCTTTTTCATCACATTCGAAGGGTATCACCTGGGTAAAGCATTGTAAGGTACTACATTAGATCACCTGGGTACAGCATTGTAAGGTACTACATTAGATCACCTGGGTACAGCATTGTAAGGTACTACATTAGATCACCTGGGTAAAGCATTGTAAGGTACTACATTAGATCACCTGGGTACAGCATTGTAAGGTACTACATTAGATCACCTGGGTACAGCATTGTAAGGTACTACATTAGATCACCTGGGTACAGCATTGTAAGGTACTACATTAGATCACCTGGGTACAGCATTGTAAGGTACTACATTAGATCACCTGGGTACAGCATTGTAAGGTACTACATTAGATCACCTGGGTACAGCATTGTAAGGTACTACATTAGATCACCTGGGTACAGCATTGTAAGGTACTACATTAGATCACCTGGGTACAGCATTGTAAGGTACTACATTAGATCACCTGGGTACAGCATTGTAAGGTACTACATTAGATCACCTGGGTACAGCATTGTAAGGTACTACATTAGATCACCTGGGTACAGCATTGTAAGGTACTACATTAGATCACCTGGGTACAGCATTGTAAGGTACTACATTAGATCACCTGGGTACAGCATTGTAAGGTACTACATTAGATCACCTGGGTACAGCATTGTAAGGTACTACATTAGATCACCTGGGTACAGCATTGTAAGGTACTACATTAGATCACCTGGTTACAGCATTGTAAGGTACTACATTAGATCACCTGGGTACAGCATTGTAAGGTACTACATTAGATCACCTGGGTACAGCATTGTAAGGTACTACATTAGATCACCTGGGTACAGCATTGTAAGGTACTACATTAGATCACCTGGGTACAGCATTGTAAGGTACTACATTAGATCACCTGGGTACAGCATTGTAAGGTACTACATTAGATCACCTGGGTACAGCATTGTAAGGTACTACATTAGATCACCTGGGTACAGCATTGTAAGGTACTATATTAGATCACCTGGGTACAGCATTGTAAGGTACTACATTAGATCACCTGGGTACAGCATTGTAAGGTACTACATTAGATCACCTGGGTACAGCATTGTAAGGTACTACATTAGATCACCTGGGTACAGCATTGTAAGGTACTACATTAGATCACCTGGGTACAGCATTGTAAGGTACTACATTAGATCACCTGGGTACAGCATTGTAAGGTACTATATTAGATCACCTGGGTACAGCAATGTAAGGTACTACATTAGATCACCTGGGTACAGCATTGTAAGGTACTACATTAGATCATCTGGGTACAGCATTGTAAGGTACTACATTAGATCACCTGGGTACAGCATTGTAAGGTACTATATTAGATCACCTGGGTACAGCATTGTAAGGTACTACATTAGATCACCTGGGTACAGCAATGTAAGGTACTATATTAGATCACCTGGGTACAGCATTGTAAGGTACTACATTAGATCACCTGGGTACAGCATTGTAAGGTACTACATTAGATCACCTGGGTACAGCATTGTAAGGTACTACATTAGATCACCTGGGTACAGCATTGTAAGGTACTACATTATATCACCTGGGTACAGCATTGTAAGGTACTACATTAGATCACCTGGACAGAGCATTGTAAGGTACTACATTAAATCGTTTGGTCAGATCATTGTAATGTACCACATTAGATCACCTGGGTACATCATTGTAAGGTACTACATTAGATCACCTGGTTACAGCATTGTAAGGTACTACATTAGATCACCTGGGTACAGCATTGTAAGGTACTACATTAGATCACCTGGGTACAGCATTGTAAGGTACTACATTAGATCACCTGGGTACAGCATTGTAAGGTACTACATTAGATCACCTGGGTACAGCATTGTAAGGTACTACATTAGATCACCTGGGTACAGCATTGTAAGGTACTACATTAGATCACCTGGGTACAGCATTGTAAGGTACTACATTAGATCACCTGGGTACAGCATTGTAAGGTACTATATTAGATCACCTGGGTACAGCAATGTAAGGTACTACATTAGATCACCTGGGTACAGCATTGTAAGGTACTACATTAGATCATCTGGGTACAGCATTGTAAGGTACTACATTAGATCACCTGGGTACAGCATTGTAAGGTACTATATTAGATCACCTGGGTACAGCTTTGTAAGGTACTACATTAGATCACCTGGGTACAGCAATGTAAGGTACTACATTAGATCACCTGGGTACAGCATTGTAAGGTACTACATTAGATCACCTGGGTACAGCATTGTAAGGTACTACATTAGATCACCTGGGTACAGCATTGTAAGGTACTACATTAGATCACCTGGGTACAGCATTGTAAGGTACTACATTATATCACCTGGGTACAGCATTGTAAGGTACTACATTAGATCACCTGGACAGAGCATTGTAAGGTACTACATTAAATTGTTTGGTCAGATCATTGTAATGTACCACATTAGATCACCTGGGTACATCATTGTAAGGTACTACATTAGATCACCTGGTTACAGCATTGTAAGGTACTACATTAGATCACCTGGGTACAGCATTGTAAGGTACTACATTAGATCACCTGGGTACAGCATTGTAAGGTACTACATTAGATCACCTGGGTACAGCATTGTAAGGTACTACATTAGATCACCTGGGTACAGCAATGTAAGGTACTACATTAGATCACCTGGGTACAGCATTGTAAGGTACTACATTAGATCACCTGGGTACAGCATTGTAAGGTACTACATTAGATCACCTGGGTACAGCATTGTAAGGTACTACATTATATCACCTGGGTACAGTATTGTAAGGTACTACATTATATCACCTGGGTACAGCATTGTAAGGTACTACATTAGATCACCTGGGTACAGCAATGTAAGGTACTACATTAGATCACCTGGGTACAGCAATGTAAGGTACTACATTAGATCATCTGGGTACAGCATTGTAAGGTACTACATTAGATCACCTGGGTACAGCAATGTAAGGTACTACATTAGATCACCTGGGTACAGCATTGTAAGGTACTACATTAGATCACCTGGGTACAGCAATGTAAGGTACTACATTAGATCACCTGGGTACAGCATTGTAAGGTACTACATTAGATCACCTGGGTACAGCATTGTAAGGTACTACATTAGATCACCTGGGTACAGCATTGTAAGGTACTACATTAGACCACCTGGGTACAGCATTGTAAGGTACTATATTAGATCACCTGGGTACAGCAATGTAAGGTACTACATTAGATCACCTGGGTACAGCCTTTTAAGGTACTACATTAGATCACCTGGGTACAGCATTGTAAGGTACTACATTAGATCACCTGGGTACAGCATTGTAAGGTACAACATTAAATCGTTTTTAAGGTCATTGTAATGTACTACATTAGATCACCTGGGTACAGCATTGTAAGGTACAACATTAAATCGTTTGGTCAGATCATTGAAAGGTAAGTTACCTTATTAGATCGCTAGGTCAGTTCATTGATAGGTAGGCTACCATATTAGATCGCTAGGTCAGTTCATTGATAGGTAAGTTACCATATTTGATCGCTAGGTCAGTTCATTGATAGGTAGGCTAACATATTAGATCGCTAGGTCAGTTCATTGATAGGTAAGTTACCACATTAGATCGCTAGGTCAGTTCATTGATAGGTAGGTTACCATATTAGATCGCTAGGTGAGTTCATTGATAGGTAGGTTCCTATATTAGATCGCTAGGTCAGTTCATTAATAGGTAGGCTACCATATTAGATCGCTAGGTCAGTTCATTGATAGGTAAGTTACCATATTAGATCGCTAGGTGAGTTCATTGATAGGTAGGTTCCTATATTAGATCGCTAGGTCAGTTCATTAATAGGTAGGCTACCATTTTAGATCTAGGTCAGTTCATTGATAGGTAGGTTCCTATATTAGATTGCTAAGTCAGTTCATTAATAGGTAGGCTACCATATTAGATCGCTAGGTGAGTTCATTGATAGGTAGGTTCCTATATTAGATCGCTAGATCAGTTCATTAATAGGTAGGCTACCATATTAGATCGCTAGGTCAGTTCATTGATAGGTAGGTTACTATATTAGATCGCTAGCTCAGTTCATTGACAGGTAAGTCATTAATAGGTAACTTACTATATTAGATCGCTATGTCAGTTCATTGATAGGTAGGCTACCACATTAGATCGCTTGTCGAGCCCATTGAACATTTCTAAATTAAATAGCTTGTATATAGCCTGGACTGATCTCATATACGCAGAGGTTACATAAACATGTGAACTCTATCTAATATCTCAAACAATGTTACTTTGGGTTTAGGGTTAGGGCTATGTTTATATTTAGGTTTGAGATGGGAGTTAGATTTGAGATTGAAGTGTCGGTCAGGATAATATAAAAGGTAAGAGTACCTGTATAGGGCTGGTAAGGATAAAGATCATATGATTTATTTTTTAAAAATGGCTTCTTTTATTTAGAAAAAAAAATTGAAACAAGATTTCGGTTGCACAGATTTACCATCAAGCAATGTTTCCTTTGTAGGATTTTCTTTCAACCAATGTTATCTTTACTTAGTGTTACCCTCAAATAAAGTAACCAAACTCAGACTTGCGGTCTAACTAAATCATCTTAACTCAGTTACCCTCAAAGTAACCTTTACTCAGACTTACCTTTACAGTAACGGCCTTGACCGCGTACATAGTGGCAGCGTAGGTGAAGATCTGGTCATTCGTGAAGATCCACATCAACACAAACTCTGTTGCACCTACCCCGTGACGTTGCCAGATATATAAGGAAGGATGTTAAATAAAGCGGGAATAATCTCCCATAAAGTTTCTCGAATATTTCCATATAACAGTAACTACCGTTGGGGGGGGGGGGGGGGGAGGCACTTCAACTACAATCGGGCCATAGACATGTTTTTTATTCATTTTTTGCCTACATAAAATAAGTGTGCACATGTTAATGAACATGAGGGTAATGTACACGGGATGCAATAATCCTGCGGTCTTTTAGCATACATAATGACGTCACATGGGCTAATATAATCCTGCTTTCCGGTAATGTACAGGATGCCGACATTCTTACTCCATAAACACAACATAAAAATTGATTTATACGTGGTTTCGCACATAAAACAACCACTTAAAATAAACCTAGCTGTCTCTAGCCGTGACAAAAAAGAATCTAGCCTGACCCTAAATGAGACACAGATATTCAAAGCTACACGTTTACTAGAACCATCTATACAATAGTATCAACAAAATCTTGTCTATGATGCAGGGATTATCTAGATCTAGAATCTATTACAGACTAAAAGCTTAATCTACACAGTGGAAAAACAAAAATGTTCCATGTTCTAGATTGTTAGATGCCTAGATCTAGATGTAGATGTCTATATCTACGTCATACGTCTAAATGTAGATGTCTATATCTAGGTCTAAATTTAGATGCCTAGATCTAGATCTAGATGTAGATGTAGATGTCTAGATCGAGTTCTAGATGTAGGTCCTAGATTTAGATCTAGGTCTAGATGTACAAGCCTAGATCTAGGTCCAATGTACAAGCCTAGATCTAGGTCCAGATGTAGATATATGTGTCTATCAATGAAAGATACAATCACCTTACCTACACAGTGAAGAAGGTAGGATATTATTATCCCAGTTTTCATTTATGATACAGAGGACAATCCGGTATTTACATTAAAACAACAAGAAAGATATCTCGGCACAGAAAGCTAATACAAACTTGAAATCAGCGCGTTAAATAATTGAGCAAGCTTGTAGCATTCAAAACTTCACGCTATAATTTTAATGCGGTGCTTTATTTAGAATTCCCGAATTTCTGCGTTTGTGTGAAATTATTTGACTTTCTCCTGAAGTGAGAAGTCTGAATAAGGATTAATTAGTAAAGTAATGTGATCTGTGTATAAGGTGTGTAAGTGGGAGGGATCACTGCGTGTGTGTACCTATATACGGTAGTTTGCGCGAGGCCGGGTGTGTTGACGTGTGTGTTGTTGTACGAAGTGAACGAGGGTAACACGGGAAGCGAGTGGTCGAGTGACAGCACTGTGCTGACATGTATTTTGTTGTGTGGAGTGAACGAGGGTAACAAGGGAAGCGAGTGGTCGAGTGACAGCACTTGTGTTGTGAGCGGGAGAAACGAGGTGTGTACGGATACATGTGGAGGACAGTTGGAGGTGAAGGTTGCTTGAAAGGTAGACAAGATAAAGAAATATTAAACTGACCTGTGTTATCCTAACCTCAAAGAGCTGTGTTGTGCTTATACCTGTGTGGTCGGAGATACCTTACGTCCTCACAAGTAGCATGGATACCATATGGATATTACATATAAGATATTTTAAATAAAATATCTTTCCCTTTTAAACAGCTACTTACATCGGTACTTATAAACTATATGAAAAAACAAAGATGATATAAGCTACAACTGCAGAACAATCGTTGTTGGAGTTGCAATCATTGACCAATCGATTTACGGACATATTATCCTGAAATATCGACGAAAATTTCAGGTGAGTAGAAATCAAATTCCCAGGTAAAACAATCGTAATTTTTGTAACATTGTGCCGATTTGTTCGGAGTAATTAAATACTAAGATGTTTGTGAATGTAAACTTTGTGGTCTCAAGGTTGGTGCTACCCTACAACATACAAAGATTCTTTATATTCGGGTTGGTTTTACCCTATTCAACTCTCGTTTTGTGTTAACTGAATAAAATATTGTTTTTAACGTCAATTTGACTATATGTACCTGACCCTTAATGGTGTCACAATAACGTTTTTGTATGCTGCCTGATCAGAGTTTTATGTTTTCGCAACAAATAGACTAATTTAGCGCTTGGAATGCGTTTAATATTATAGAAGCGAAAATTACCGACTTTTTCACAGGGGGAGTAATCCAAGGGAAGTGATCCATGCTTAATGGGAGCTCAACTCTGTGAATATTTACTTGAATACCGAAGGGCCCTAACTCGGCACAACTATTCCCCCACTGTTAGAGTGTTCCATTTAGAAGTGTTGCCTCCCTTTGTTCATTGCGCAGCTCAAGAAAGGATAAGTTAACCTTTTCTGTGATAAATTGATAAATTGATTTAATAAGATATTTAAAGATAAGCTAAGTAGTGTGATCTAAGTTTCTTTTTTCCGTGCTTTACTTTATTAAAGTAAAACGTTTAAAGAAAAACTTTACAATGATTTATACAATAAATAGAAATAACCTGTTGCAGTATCAAGGCTAAGATACTTAAATAATAAACATTGTAGACAGATCTCTTTTTATATTTCCATATCCTTTAGTTGAATTTAAACTTTAAAGTAAATAAAAATTTCTGCCAGACTTATCAGGAAATATCCTCTAACACTGAGAAAGGCATGTTTCATGGCTGGGAATAACGTTATACATACAATTACGTTCAACATGTAGTAGACAGTGGTCACGATGTCAAACAGACTAAACATGTATTCATCTACTTTTCTTTCTTCTTCGTTCTTAATTTCTAATGTTGGAAGGGTCAAGCTTTATCTGCCAGAGGGTTTGAACTCGAGTCTTTTTCGAATTTATCAACCACGAGCTTTGCCGACTCGACCACGTCTCCAACACAATAAAGTATACATCTCAACTGGTTATTCGCCATTGAGGACGTTGACTCCGATTTCAGTATGGTATTTTGTGGAACCGAGAAGAACAAACTACAAGGCAGAAGTTGTTTGATTTTGGAGTTGTCTCTCCTAGTGGCTGTCCCCACCTAACGAGCCTCATCTGCCCGAGGGTTCAAACTCGATGCTTTTCGATTTAGAAACCATGAGCTTTACCGACTAGACCATGCATTCCCCTGCATGTATTAATAATACATGAGACATGAATCGTATTTGTTCAACACCAACAATAACAACATAAAATGTGTAACAAGTGTACTATTGTTAACTAAGTTGAAACGGTATATTCCCAGTCCGCCTATATTCCTGAAAGACCCACGTTCTGATTATACAATTTAAATAGGTCACTGGCGACTATACGTAACTTACTAGTGTTTTCATGGCATCTATTTTTAACTTCTACGAAAAGTACTTTGAATTAAACATTTTTTAACTAACAAAACACATTCTTTCAACCTATATAGACTAAAAAAAACATTGTCTCTAATTAGATTTTAATCCAAATTCGACTGGGCTAATTGCCAATTAAACTGTAGCCCAGCCAAAAATGTACTGGTCACTAATGTAATGACCGTGGTTCGACGGTTAAACAACGACCGACAACTCTAACAAGCAAATTAACCAGTCCGCTACAACATTTACATAACAACTAGATTCAACTACTTGCCCGAGTACCGTTGTGTCGAAACTGTTTTCACCGACACGGGAATACTAAGTAAGCTCAGAAATTGACTATACTAAACATTTCTAGGAAAAGTTGACTTATGGAAGCTAGTGGGCTTTTTGATATGTATCAACATTATCTATGTATTACTGTGACTTCATGCAGAATGAATATATGAATATGTTATTACTTTTACACAAAAATTCGCATGGACACACACACACACTCCTGCATACACTCCCTTACACTAAACACAACCACTTGTAAACGCATTTACATACATAACCGCACTAATACGTACTCCTTTTTTGCACATACACAAGCACTAACTTACACATCAATACACAAAAACACACTATATTAAACACAGTTAATCACGCTTTTTAATAAACAGACACACACACTTACACACATTCATCAATACAGACTATGTTGCACACACACATCGGAACACCATCTCACACAAACTCCAAAACACCTTAATGAGACAACTATAACCTCTCCATTACTTCCTCTCACAGATGATCTCCCCTTGCACTGAGTATTTACTCGACTGTCTGCTAGCTGTGGTTATTCCCCTTGAATGTCTGTGAGTTAATTTAATGTGGACAATGTAGCTGGATGAGCTGGTTACTAAAGCTGTCTCTTGGGTTTACCTCTAGCATTAAGTACACGAGTTTGTGTACAATTGTTTCTGTGTTTGTCCAGTCAACTTGATCGTACGTTTAATGTCTCTAGTCAACTTAGTCGTACGTTTAATGGTGTCCGCTCAGAAAGTTTACGTGCTCTGACCTTCCGTACTAGCTGTTGCTGCGTTGCTGTGTTGGTGTGTTGCTGTGTTGCTGTGTTGCCGTGCTACTGCTATAAGAAGCTATGAGGTAATGATTATGTGCGCATGTATAAGTCGCGCCGTATGTTTTGAGACATCCACCTTAAGTTCTCATGCCATTAAGCCATGTAACTTTAGCATAGCAGTCCTTGTAAATAGAAAGAGATGATTTTAGAAATGTGGTTTTATAGAAGTTAACCGTTACAGTACAACAGTAGCTTCAGTGTAAAATATATGACATTGGAAATTGTGTATTCATTGGAGACACGACGTTAGAAATATGGTTTTGTTTAAGAAAACCTTGACCATAGACATATTTTTTTAGAAACCATACAGTAGAAACGTAGGTTGCTGAAAAAAAAACATTTCAGCATGAATTATGTATTTAGAGTAGAGTGCCTTGATATTAAAAATATGGTTTTAGTGGAAAAAAAACCCTACTATAAAAAAATGGTTTTATTAGAAAAAATCCGACTAGTAAAAATAAGTTGTTTTTTTTTTTAAAACCCACTACTGGTAAAAATATGGTTTTAGTAGAAAAAAAACCTACTAGTAAAAACCATTTTTTTATAGATAAGAGAAAGATGAGGGGCTACTAGAGATAAGCTGATAAGCTTTAAAGATGATTGGCGTTATTATACAGACAAGCTGTCCTTTTTAAATCAAAAACTGACAGCTGGTTTTCAGTGTACGTATAATGATCCAATACTCTTGTTTTATATTTCTTCTTACGTATACATTTTAATTTGCTAACAAAAATGAATTAAAGAGAGTCTAAAAATGTTCATTCACAACTTGTATAAACCTTTAGCGTATTTTACGGTACTAAGAGAAAACGATTATTTAAAAAGGATTCGATAATGTTTAAAATCGAATACAAAATAGCCATCACTTTGCATCCATCCAGGACTAACTTTAGCATTGCAAATTTCACCGTCAAAGTCGGTTGTTGAAATTCCCTAAAGGGTACTTAATTCACACGCTGGGACTGATCTAGGAGTTATCTCCCTTCGTTGCTATTCGCAACTCAATCGCTGTCAGTTCGTTAAGGTGGTATACAAAATTCATGGAGCCATTCGGGTTTTCAAGTACTGCAAGAATACGGGGACACTGCGGATTATGTGGCTTTGTTGGATGATCGCACTTAGGACACGTATTAAAGCAGGAGATGATTTCCAGATGGGGATGAATGTTTCATGAAGTGGTGGAGCTTCTATTGCAGGAGTCATTTAGCACAAAAAGATGAGTAATAATATCATAGAGAATCGAAGATGAAAACACAAAGAGGATTCATGGTCATCATTAATGGGTATTTTTGGTTGACCTTTAGGGTACAGATAATCCGTAACTTTCAGCAGTTTCATTAGTAGTGGATACTAACGGAGTATTTTGTTGATAGAATGAGGACAGATGATGATACATTGTCTAACTACAGTATACTGGCAATGAAAAGAGACAGAATTCATGTCTACCGTCTATCGTACATGATGTAAATAAAAGTCAGTCAAGATGAGCAGTTTTCATAACAAAAAGAATTCAAGATGTGTAT